GAGCGCGCGGGCCCGCGGCGGGCGGGAGGGAGGGAGTCCCGGGCGGGCACCGCGACCCCGCAGTCCCGGAGGATGGGCCGGAGCTAACAAAGAGGACAGCCTCCCTTCCCCAGGTTCGCTCTGATCCCCTCCAGCGATGTCTAAAAGGGGTCTCGGGCTTCTGATCACCTCGGCGGATGGCTGCGGCTGAACTCTGGATCAGGGTTTTAAGAGTCTCGGGCATATTTGTGCCTCTGGGAATAAGTAAGTGTGCAGTTTGCCTGGTAAACTTTGCCGAGAGGGGGGCCCGAGGAAGGACTGTTTGGCAACGCCTTGTTTTGTATCTGGAGTAAAGCGTGTTTACACTGGAAAGAGAATTCTTGGATCTGCAAATTCCGACTTGTGATTTGTGCAGATCCTGATTAGATTGGCCGCTCTTGGCAAGCTCGTCCTATTTTCTTTTTTGCTGAGAAAGCCTTATCATAATAGCGTACGGTGGAAAACACATTCAGAACACTCCAAGTGACAATTGCTATACGCCGTGTGTGTGTGTGTGTGTGTGTGTGTGTGTGTGTGTGTGTGTTTAAAGTTTGGGAAATGACAGTACTTTTACTCTGAAGATAGTTGTGTTTTGTTTCAAGGGCATTTTATGGTAGACTGTGTTTGCACAAATGTTTTGTTCCCGAGAAGCAGGTTTGATTTAATGCAATAGATGTAGCTATTATTCTAAAAATGTCATAATACTGTCTCCTTTTAATGATTCTTTTATGTTAAAACACGGCTGGAAAATTAGGCATGGTGTGGACCTTAGCAGCAAGGGAACGGGAAATGCGCCACGTTTGAGTTAAAATGTGTTTGAGAAACTTTTGGAAGGGGATATGATATTGAGAGGAAAATTAAAATGAATTCTCAAATATTGCAGATTGCTTTTTATAAACTTGTACTAAACCAGAATTTAGTGTGTAGCTGTTTTCCGACCGGACAACAGAATAGTATTGTAAACAAAGTATCCCCCAGTTTTGTTTTTTTTTTTGTTTATAAAGCTATTTAGGAATTACGTATTTTTTTTAGTAGTTAAATTAGAATTCCAGACTTAACTACCTTTCAGATTATTGCATATTATTTTTATACCTTAGGAGTCTCCCCCAAAACATCTTAATTTTTTTTACTCTTAGTTTTAGTATTATAGCCAAACATTCATAACTTTGTATCATTTGGTAGTAAATACTGTACACAGCAAAACTAAGATGGGTAATCATTGATAATTTTTTTCAATTAGCTTTGTTAATTTTGTAAGTTACTAAGTTATTTAACACAGTGGGTTTTATATAAGTAAGCAAAAGGCAAGTCATTCTTATGGCTATATCTTGGGAGAAAATGTAGCTAAAACGAACACACATCCTTTCTTTAAAGCACATAGTAACGCTTAACAAAACAAGGAAAGAGAAAACATTGGCTTTTCGTTATCCCGGATGCTGTAAAACATTTCAAATCTCAGGACAAATGAAAGTTTTACTTTTGAGTTTGCATAATCAGAACTTAAAATAATTAAATTATATAGGGTAGCATCTGTTGCCTTCAAGGCATAGTTCTCTTTGTGAACAAACTACCATATTTGAACATCTACTAAATCAAATATTTATCTTTCCTTTCATATTTGTAATATCTTCTCTCTTCATCCACAGTACCTGTTTCAAGTTAGAATAATGTGCGTATCAAGTCAAAATCCACCACTTTTTCTCATGGAAGAGTATTGAGTATACATGATGTGTGTATATAATCTTTTAAAATTTAAACAAACACTTCTGGTTACATCAGGCAGTCTTCTCCTTAAAAGCTTGTTATTTAAGGCTCTCATTTCTTGATTCCCCCCGTCCCCCGCTACCATTTTGCTTCATCTATTTTGTTTACACTCCTGAAACACCACACAGCGTTGGAAACTTCTGCAAGTGGAGACCCTATCATTTTATAGTACTTATTTTAATTTCCTTCTATCCTATCACGGTTCTGCCTAGAAAAGGTACACCAAAAATGCTCTAACAGTGCTTTAAGTAGAGTTAGGTCCCCCCCCACACCTTCTTCTATCCGCTATTTTTAACTTTTTGTTTTACCTTTTTGGGAATAACCAGAGCTTAAACACCACACACACACACACACACACACACACACACACGCCAAAAACGAATCCGTGGTCGGGTCCGTGTTAGAGCTCCATCTCTGTATGTAATTATAGCACGCTTGTAATCTCCTTAAGGACAGCGGCGGCTTAGGATTCGTCTTAGATTTCCCAAGATGCTCGTTACGCTGCCTTGTGCTCGGAGACGCCACACACATCTGTGGCCTGGGATTCCGAAGTGTTGAGTCTGGCAAAGCCGAGGCTGACGGCGAACCCCGTCGTCCGGTCCGCTTCCGCCACCCCGGGCGCGAGCGCTCCCCACCTCCCGCGCGGCAGGAATCTGGGATCGACTCCCGGCTCAGCCCGTGCGAGCGCAGCGCGCAGCGGAGGAAGCCGCTCCTCTCGAGCTCCGCGCGCCAGAGCCGCTGCCAATCCCCAGTTTGTCTCTGCCCGGAAGTTACCATCAACAGGTGTGGTTTAAAACGTTGTAAATGGCATATTTTGGGGACCCTGTGCCTTCAAATCCAACATCAAATAGCGGTCGGTCAATCTTCTTACAGCCTGCAGGGCTCGAGCTGGCTCCTGCAGCCGCGCGCCCCGCCCCCGGGAGCGTAGGGGCTGGTGCAAGCCGAACACTTCCGTCCGGAAACGCGGCGGTGGAACTAGAGTTCCGGGACCTCTGAGGGTGGCGGTTGGCCCAGCAATGCCTGGAGCTCTCTCCCTGGCTGGGCGCGATAGTTTGAGCCTTCACCGCCCACCTGGCTGCCTGAGCTGTTGAACCCGTCTGCCCCTCACTAATCCAGGATGGCTCTTAAGGCCTCTCCCGCTTCTTTAAGTGAGCGCGCCCACCTAGGTGCCTCTACCCGGACCCGTTTCTCATCACTGCCCCTGCTTAATAACTGGCATTTGTAGGGTCATTGTGTCAATCACCTGTCAATCTCCCTGGTGACATTAATATTTGTGAACTAGAAAACGTTTTTATAAATGTTTGTTAAGGAATTCACCTCCTTTGACCATCGCAGCTACCATATGTGATCGGGATTGCTGATTACTCTCATTCAGAATCCAGGGTGAACTTGCCTCTGGAGACTGGCCCTCCACCCTAGCTCTTTGGAGGTGTTTTGCTCTTATCTCACTTGTGGTATAAAGAATTCTGACATTTGGAGCATTGGGAGACTCAAAAGTGAGATTTGGAGTTTTGGGGAGCTCAAAAGAGTTTGTCCAAAGGAATGACAGTTAATGCCAACTACAAAATTTGGGAGTAGCGTGGAGCTGGCCTTTATCAGATTTAGTCCTGACAATGGCCCCAGATTGTTATCACTGTAGCGGTGATAGAGTGAGGGGTGGAGTCTGACCCAAGGCCCAGCCCTCAACGGTGATGATGTTAAACTTCCCCAGGCCCCCTGACACTGTTAGTTCCTTCTTTTTCTAGTGGAGAGGCAACGCTTATTCCACAGATGCAGGTTCACTGATTTTTATCCTTCAGAGCAAATCCCAGAGTGACCATGTTCCTGTAACGGGTGTTTCTCTTTTCTCAGCGCTGGCGTGGACGCTCCCTTCTCTTGGCCTTTCGAGACGCTCTTGCTTCTTGATGGAGTCGGCGGCTGCTGGGTGAACCGCCGGAGACTGGAAAGCGATCGATCGTCCCTTCGTGAGAGGGGAGTCACCTAGGCCATCCCCTCTGGCTTGGTGGGGGTGCTTTTCCTTCTTTGGCCTGCCACTCTCCACGGGCGAAGAAGATGCCCCTGCCGTTTGGATTGAAACTGAAGCGCACCCGCCGCTACACTGTGTCCAGCAAGAGCTGCCTGGTTGCACGGATCCAGCTGCTGAACAATGAGTTTGTGGAGTTCACATTGTCCGTGGAGAGCACTGGTCAGGAGAGCCTGGAGGCTGTGGCCCAACGGCTGGAGCTGCGGGAGGTAAGCTGCCAAAGAGGCTGCAGGCTTCCCTGGCGCCGCTTCACTACTTATTGCATGAGGTATGTTCTAGGCCACCAGAACTCAAAGTGGGCCCTGTGATGTTACAGTTGGGCCTGCAGGGCATCCTTTCCAGGAAAGGGAAAAAGACCAGCGCAAAAAAGTCTTTCGGAGGGGTGCCTTGTAAGGAAGTTAACAGTACCTATGTTTTGAGTGTGTTTATGTTTTCCCAAAATGTAATGGAGATCAGATATGAATGCACTGTAGATTATCTGAGTTCTCGTCTTCTAATATAATCCCAAATTAACCTGATCTCTTAAGACAGTTTATTGACTTCATGCATTGCTTTAGTGTTGATTCATTGATTTCCCACAAGTCAAGATTCTAGAGACATGTTTACTGACTTTAATTTGGGTGAACTGTGGAATCTTAGGCAGGTTATGCAGTGTCCCTTAGCCCCGGTTTCCCCATCTAAAAGGATAACAGTGGCACCTAATTCTCAGGGTGGTTGGACTTAATGTGCAAGTAAAGCTGTGAGGTCTAACAACTAGTTTGTTTTCATAAACGTAGGAAGTTTTGCCCTGGAGAACCCCTCATCTACTTGGTGGGAAGTTGTGGAGGCCTCACATATCCACCTAATGTCTTCAGTGTAAAACGCTCTCTAAGGCTCTAATTAAACCTCGGTTCCTCCTTGTGCTTGGCTGCCTGGCTCTGGGGTAGGAGAAAGAAGGAGAAACTGGTTATTCCACTTCAGTGCCCATGTTCTATTCCCAACTGAAAATCCCACACTAATTTCATAGTTCGAAAAAAGTTGGGAATGCCGGGAGTGGTGGTGGTGCACACCTGTAATCCCCAGCATTTGGGAGGCTGGAGGAGGAGAATCACGGCAAGTTGGAGGCCAGTCTGGGCTGCATGATGAGTTCAAGGCCAGCGTGAACTACAAAAAAAAAAAAAAAAAAATCTGAGAATAAACTTTGCTCCTGGCAAAATCATTTGATATTCAATAAGACGACCTAAAGCACCAAGTACAAAAGTACTGTGTTAGGAGTTCACCTTACTGTTGACACCACTAAAACAAGCGTGCTGCCTGCTGAGAAAGGAAAGTAGACTGTGCCCTAGGGCAAGGGAGGGGCAGCCCAGAGAAAGCTGCCCAGGGGGAAGTGTGTCTGAGCTGTGATTTTAAGGATGGAGCATGGCTTTTATTTTTTCCTAGAAGGGTCTGAAAAAACTGTCACACCAAAAGGAGCAGCAAGGGGCTGGGGATTTAGCTTAGTGGTACAGCGCCTGCCCGGCAAGCGCAAGGTCGTGAGTTTGATCCCTGGTGCCGGAAGAAAACAAAACAAACAAACAAAAAAGATTACTAACAAAAGGAACAGCAAAGATGTGAAGGCACCTGGTCTTGAAGCCCAAAGTGTGGGGAGGACAGGCTGAGAGTAGCCGGTCCAGATGCAGGGTGTTTATGAAAGGATTTGGGCTTGTCCTGCTGGCGGGGAAGAGGGCCCTTAAGCAAGGATCTGTTGTGAATGATGCTGCAGTGAGTGAGTTTGGGGGAAAGTGACGAGCGCGACTTTCTGGAGCAGTCGGTGGCTGCCTGGATTTGGACGGGGAAGGAAAGCAGTGGGTGGGAACTGGAGCAGGTATTTAGGACCTACAGACCGGGTTTGGGGAAGAGGGAGGGCGGGTCCGGGTTTACTCAGGTTTTCAGTAGGTGGTGGGAGATGTAATTGGAGCGGGAAACAAACAAAGAGCAGAGTTAAGTTTTGGAAATAAATCCAACTTCAAGGTGCCGGTTGGGGCCATTTGCCAGGTGTTGAGCAGACAGGCAGATGTGTCTGTCTGGAGCCCAGGCGAGAGACACAGGCTAGAGCCGAGAGGTTTGGGAATCAACTTAGGGGAGTTGACGAAAGCCAGGAGAGGTGATGAGGCGGTTTAGGGAGACAGTGAGGGTGTGGCAGCCCCTCGGGATTGAGCAGAAAAGGGCAGAACCTTGGCAGGAAACTGACGGAGCCCAAGAAGAAGGAAAAGAAAGTAAACTGGCTGAGTGGGCCTCCGTGACTCACCTGTTCGTTGTGTTTATTCCATCTTTTTTGCTTCCTTCATCCATCTCTCTTCCCCCCATTTTGATTTTTTTTTTCTGTAAACATCATCCAAATGCTTAAGGTGTGCCTCTGACCTCTAGGGAGCCGCGTCGTGAGGAAGCGTGGTTTATTTACTTTCCTACACAGAGTACGCTGCATGGAATGCACTCCACAAATACGGCTTGAACTCAACCCACAGCGTTGCTTTCCTTCTGCTGGTCAGAAAGTGCAGGGGTAGGGAAGGTGCAGTCTCCCATTAGGTGCTATCGGTCTCCCGGAACAAGCAGCCTCCTAGAACTGTGGGTATAAGGTGTGTTTTCAACAGAAAAGCAGAGGGCTGGGGATTTAGCTCAGTGGCACAGTGCCTGCCTGGCAAGCACGAAGTCGTGAGTTCAATTCCTGGTACTGGAAAAAAAAACAACAACAAAAACAAAAACAGAAGAGCAGAGTGGTTTGAGAGGGCGCAGGCATGGTCCCCAGAAAATCTCTTCCTCCTGGACAGACTGTATTGCTTCCGACATTTAACTGCAGCGGTGGCTAGAAACGTTTCCTTTGAAAGCCCTGGAAGCTCTGTTCTGTGGCATGTAAACAGATGCTAAGTGCCAGACCTAATTTTACCATGTGACTGTTCAGAAATAATCTGAGTGGGGTACCACCTGTTCCTAGTGTGTGTACATACCGCCTGTGTGTGATTCATACCAAGGAACAGCAGTATGTTGGTATCTTGTGCTATTCCTTCTCTGGGCAAACCTATTATTATCCTAGCATATAGATTTGTCTGATAAAGCTTCACTATTGCAAAAGTATGAACTGGAGAAAAAAGGTCTTTACTCCCCTTGTTTACTTGAATACCATTTCCTATACTGACAGTTACAAGGGCTACACAATAATACCCCTGTAACAGTACTGATAGGGCTCACCTATATCAGAAGTATTTCATTTCTTAAACTGGATGAGGAGGGGTATTGCGTGTGTCCCCCTCTTTCATATTTTTACAAATGTCTAGATTTCATACTAAATTAAGAATTTTTTTTTTTTTTTTTTGAGACAGGGTTTCACTAGGTAGTTCAGGCAGCCTTGAACTCACTATATGGCCCAGGCTGGCCTGGAACTTGGAGTGATCCTCCTGCCTCAGCCTCCCGAGTGCTGGGATTACAGGCGTGCACCACCATGTCCAGCTTAGATGATTACCTTTTATTCAAATTCACTGTATTTGAACTAGGGAAAGTGATGTAAAAATGGGAAAACATTATGCCCTTAGGAAAATGTTGCTGTTCGTTATAGCAGTAGCTTCTCAGAGCTGTTGAAATTCTCTGCCTGTGACTCGTGGTGAGTTTCACATTTTTTTTTCCGAGAGGCTGTGAAAGTATGGTATGTATGAGGAATTAGAAAGCCCCCACCCCCCATTTTGGAGGTATGTGTTATAGGGGTTTGAAGGAGGAAGTGAGACAAGGTGTCGGCTGGGCCGAAGCACTCTGATGGGGCAGTGTCAGCACAGAGTAGAGTCCAGTGGGTGGGCTCAAAAGTCCAGCATCACAGGAGGAAGACGTGGTGTCCCAGCTCAATAAAACCGCGAGTTATGTGTGCTCCCAGAGCTAAGCTCCGATCTCCCTGTAAGGAGGTCACACAGAGCCACGGCCAACCAGAAGTTGCTCGGTGAGGATGGAATCAGAAGAGAGGCCACCTTGAAAAGCTGTGTGTTTTTGTAAAGGAAATAGTGCTGCCTCCTGGAATAGGCAGGTGCCTTCAAGTTGGGGAAAGTCCTGTTCAGGGACTCTGAACAGGAGTTCAGGAGGCCTTTCTTTGCCTCTTGAGGGGCCTTTTTGCCAAGGTGCTCAAGACAATCTCCAGCAGAGTTAGAAATGCTGCGGTCATGAGGACTTAAATGTTAAATGTAAGACACTGAACAGAAGTTGTGGTGTAGTGGGCTGGTGTAGTGCTCAGCAGCACAGCGCCTGCCTGGCAAGCACGAGGTCATGAGTTCAATTCCTGGTACCAAAAAGAAAAAAAAAAACTAAGCCCAAAACTCCTGGTGTAACTCAGGAAGCTCGCAATAAGTGTTAGTCTTCATTCCTTTATTATTGGCGGCTCAGGTGCTTGTGTTGTGGTGAGTGGTGAAATTCTCTTCAGATGAACTACTCAAAATGTCACTGTTTCTTCCATTTACTGAGAGTGCATGCTTGTTTTTAAGAAAGATGCAATCTTTTTTTTTTTTTTTTTTTTTTTTTTGGTACCAGGAATGGAACTCAGGACCTTATGCTTGCCAGGCAGGCACCTGTGCTGCTGAGCTATATCCCTGGCCCTATGTTTTTAAAATGCTCTTATAGTGGGCACTGGTAATCACACTTCTTGCCCATTACTAAACTGCTAAAGTGTTAGTATGCTACAATGATTTAGTTGTCTTGTTTATTATTTTGTTTTTTTGAGACAGGGTCTTGCTATGTAATTCAGGCTGGCCTTGAACTCACTACCTAACCCAGGCTGGCCTCGAACTCACAGTGATCTTCCTGCCTCAGTCTCCTGAGTGCTGGGATTATAGGTGTGCGCCACCGTGCCTGACTAGGTGTCATATTTAAACAACTGTTCCCTGCCAACTGAAAAAAAAAAAAATTTGTGCAATGTCACTGTCCATTTCCCTCAAAGCCAGAGCTTCAGTAGGGTTTAAATTGCTGTTTGCCTCTTTCCTTTTAATGCTCAACCCAAATTCTAGGATTAAAAAAAGGTTTTAGGAAAGTTTTTGGATTAGGTTTACGTATTCTTCTTTAGGCTATGCCTTTTTCAAGGCTCCTTATTCAATAATAGATATTTAAACAAATTTTTATCCTGGCATTATGGATATTAACATTGCAAACTCTTCTTGTATACTCTGCCTTCCTTGATTTTTGTGTGTGTGGGGGTTCTTGAATTGAACCCAAAACACACAGG